GGTGGATAACTGCGGCCCTCTTCAGACAGAATCCATTTAATAGCTCTCTTTTGGAGACTTTCTAATTTATCACTAAGTGATTTATTACAAGGGCGCCAGATTATGGAACAATTTTCGAATTGGCTACGAACCAGGGAGAGGTAAAGCGCCCGGCGACGTTTCTGATCAATGACAATATGGCCATCTCTTCTGACCATACCAAGTTGTTGGCAGGCCTTAGTATAAATTCTGTCGCACTGACTATTCCAACTTAGCTTAGGAGTAACATCGACTCCAAGATCTTTTTCTAACTCTACATACACAAGAGGAGAGCCATCAAGATTATATGCGAATGGAGGAGATAAAGATGGTTTTCCTGAAACAATAAGCACTTTACATTGAGAGCTTCAATAAAATCACAAAGTATTTTCCAATCTGCCAGGGTTGTCAAATTGAGGATGATTCATGATTGTGGCGACAAATTTGTACCAGAAATAACTTCGCTGTAGTCGCTTGAGTTAGCTCTCATTGGTCAATGGAAAGGCACCCATAATCGTATATTGACAGTTAATCTGTGATATAGATATTGTTGAGGGAATTACAGCAACTTCGATATTTGACAGGAAATTGGGGTTTACCGAGCAACATAAGCGCCTAATAAAATTAATATCCTCAAATCGAGGCGTTCACATCTCTAAAACTGTTGGTTTTTTTGTTTGTTTATAATACCCGTCCCCAATTTTGTATCAGGAAATTTCCAACTCATGGGTTGAGTGCTAATACGGGTTGTTTGTAATATCTATCTAAGAATTTAAGTGGAGGTAACATTGATGGTACCGGGATCTTTATCCTAGAAATGAGGAGTATGACTGTGTAGACTGTTTACAACCATTCAGTTTAGCGATAATCCAGACCACATGTTCTGTCTAAACAACAATGTATAATCTATTCAACTCCTGCTTATTCTGTAGGAATACATGTTTAAGAAGTAAAAATCCTATGTGGAAATCGAAGAGTAATTTAAGAAGAACTGAGCATAATTTATCTACTATTCACTATATTGATGAACGTGCGCGTGATAACGCATTATCGATATAAACTTTTGTTTATTTTTAAAAGTAATGCGCGTTCCAGTAAGTCGGTACACACCATTCGTCGTAATTAGTTTGAACTCCAGGTTTGTATTCATATACCGTATCAACGGATCCCTAGTTAATGAAAACTGATTCGAAATCTGGTTCCTACAAACACAGAAGTTTGAAATCAAATTTTGGAATTTATTGATGAAACTTATGGATGAAACTGACCACATACGGCGTTTCCGGAACAACAGTCAAAAGACTATTAGTATCATGGTAATGTATACTTTGGTAGCTAATCATTAATAAATATATTGGGTACAGCATGAAGACTTGGTGTAGATTTTAAGATTATCTTAACAGGTGATATCTAGATTGTATTCCAAGATATTGTATTCCAAGATATTGTATTCCAGATTGACAAGATTAACTAATCTGTCACCATTTCATCGTGTATTAGGAATGAAGCACTCAAATTTACAAAATTATTAATCCGTTTATTAATACCTCATTATTTAGTGAGAACCAGCACAAGGTAAGGTTGCGAGTGCCTTGAAGCACGGTTCTTTTAATTCACATATTGATGTTGGATTATCACAGCTAATTTTGTAACAAGTAAGACACAATATCTTAAAAATTCACTTTCCTTAACTGGAAAATTCTAAGTTTAATTTACAAAATAGTGAAATAAATGGAAACCAATAAGCTGATAAAAGGGGCACAGAGTAGTTCAGGCTACACTGTTGTAAATAATCCAAAACAGCAATTTTATATTTTAGTCATTATTAACTAGCGAGCTCTAATCTAAGAATTTTGCGAAAGAACAATTTTCTGGTCACCTGTATGTAGCTAGTATTTACTGATTGCTTACTGATTGATTACTGTCAAGTGGAAAATACCCGTCATCAGAGATCATATGCTCCACGACAAAGAATCCCCCACCACCCCATTTCTTGCTATCACGGAGTCGTGGCTAAAACCATATATTAGTGATGCACAGATCAAGATAGAGGGATACAACTCTGTAAGGACTGATCGCCCTTTTCGAAAGGGTGGTGGATGTGTGCTCTACATTGAGGAGTCACTATTATTTTCAGACTGTTTTAGTTATAGTGACAAACACTGCAGCATGCTTTACTGTTTCATAGACTCAATGAATACATTAGCTGTAGTTATTTACCGCCCACCGGACGCTCCAACAGAATCTTTCAAAGGAATTCTGGACCTAGTTCAAAAGAAACTAGACGCCCTCACCTCCGATAACAGAACACCGGACCTCTACATAATGGGAGACTTTAATCTCCCCCATATAGACTGGGAGTATTCAAATGTCCTCGCCGGTCAAACCCAATCGGATCAAAGAGCCTGCTCAGGCCTACTCGACTTCATGAACAAGAACTTTCTCAGTCAAATGATTCATGAACCTACTAGAGATAGCAACATTATTGATTTGATACTCACCAACAAGCCCCAAGACGTAATCGAGACGAACGTGTGTGAGACCCAGCTGTCTGATCATAGACTTGTTGAGCTTTTACTAGGTCACAACCCTCTCAGCCCCAAGCAAACCTCAACTGAAGTTGTAGATAAAGACTCTTTTCGAGCAGTAAATTATCACAACGCTGACTTTGAAGCTATGAATGAACTTCTAGCAACAATAGATTGGAAGGAACTTAAAAGACTCTGTGAAGACGATGAGAATGGGAGTAATTTCTTGGAACTCATCCGTTTAACTGTGCTCCAGGTCACTCTCCTCAATTCCCCATACAATAATAAGCCAGGTGCTTCCCCAGTGCACAGAAACCAGCATTGTCGTAAAAAGTATACGCTTAAAAGGAAAAAGAGGAAGATCAACGCCCGCATGAATGCCATTACTCAAAGAAACCCTACGTCCCCCGTCCTTGCAAAGCTTAGAAATGAAGTGGACCTCTTGGCATTTGAAATAAGTGAGCTGATCATCAACGAGCTCAACGAACGCGAGGCTAAAGCTGTCACTACCATAAAGACAAATCCACGTTACTTCTACAGCTACGCAAAGAAGTTTGCGAAAGTCAAATCTTCTGTCTCCCCCATCAGAGATAGAGAAGGTCGACTGCACACTGACCCCAAGGAAAAGGCCGAGCTCCTCCAGGCCCAATATGTGAAAGTATTTAGTGACCCAAATGAAGCCCACATCGAGGAAAGCCTTGCTGGATTGAACCCTGTGCCAGTTAAGGAACTCGATCAAATGCAATTCTCAGTGAACGATATCTCAGAAGCCATCAAGGAACTGGACCCGTATTCATCGACCCCTGATGGTGATATCCCTGCTAGGATCCTGACCAAATGTAGAGAGACATTGTCCGAGCCCATATTTCTACTCTGGCAAGATTCTTTTGAAACTGGAGTAATCCCTCCTAGCATGAAAACGCAGTTTATTACCCCTGTCTACAAGAAGGGTGACCGCACAGAGGCTGCCAACTACCGCCCTGTTTCTATAACATCGCATATCATCAAGATCTTCGAAAGAGTGATACGAAACAACCTTGTCGAACATATGGAAGCGAATAACTTTCTTTCACCGCATCAACATGGATTTCGCAAAAAGAGGAGCTGCCTAACTCAACTCTTAGACCATGTAGATACCATATTGAAAAGCCTGAACAGTGGCGAAGAAGTAGATGTCATATACCTCGATTACGCCAAGGCGTTCGATAAGGTGGATCACAACATACTACTTGCAAAAGCAAAACGTTACGGAATTCATGGAAACATGCTCCAGTGGTTAAGCGAATTCCTAACAAACCGTCTCCAGACAGTGGTCGTTGAAGGAACTAAGTCATCCTTCCAGCTGGTGATAAGTGGAGTGCCACAAGGTACAGTGTTGGGACCGATTCTGTTCATTCTCTACATCGATGACCAATTGGACGCACTGCTTACCTCTCTTGGAAAGATATTTGCTGATGACACTAAACTCATCGGTAAAATATTGGACTTGGCCACCAAAGCATCGCTACAAGAAGACCTCTTCAATGTCATTGCCTGGGCTCGAAGAAACAATATGCAGCTCAATGAAGCCAAATTTGAGATCCTCAACTATACGCTCAATAATTCTCTTCTGCTACGAAATCTGCCATTTACAAATGATCTGCTCAGTTACACTCTTACAACAGGTCAAATAATTGAGCCAGCAGAAACTGTCAGGGACTTGGGGGTGATTTTATCAAACGACTGCTCTTGGACTCCCCACATCCAGAAAATGATCCAATCAGCAAGCACTATGTCATCCTGGGTTCTTAGCGTCTTCAAAGATAGATCACAATTTCTCATGCTTACCCTCTTCAAAACCATGGTGCGGAGTAAGCTAGAATATTGCTGCCCTGTCTGGAATCCAGCCAAGACCATGGACATAGAGGCTATAGAAAACGTTCAACGACAATTTACCCGACGCATTAACGGATGCAGTGGTTTAGACTACTGGGAACGTCTCACGAAACTCAATATCATATCATTGCAGAGACGTCGAGAAAGGTACATCTTGATCCACACATGGAAAATTCTCAATGGCCTGGCCCCAAATGATATTGGCATGCTGTTCAAAAACAACCCCCGACATGGAATAAAAGCTACTGTACCAGCACTGAACAACAAATCACAGCGTTCTGTGGCAACTCACTATGAAAACTCGTTTGGAGTGAAAGCGGCACAGCTGTGGAATCTTCTCCCCAAAGAAATTAATTCCATCTCTACTTTGGACCTGTTAAAATCGTCACTGGCTAAATTCCTTAAAGAATTCCCCGACACACCTCCGACTAAAGGATACACCGCTACTAACAACAACTCACTCTTGGAATGGTACTTACAAAAAGACCCCTGTGGAGTGATAGGAGGACGTACTTGATACTGTTGTCCTGAAGCGATCCCAGCCAAACCTACTCAAAGTACTCAAAAGTAAGTATTGCAATAATTTCGAGTGTGTTCATTCAAATTCAACACAGGAATTTTCCTCATGCGATACACTCTTGAGTCTTGGTCATAACACATATTTTACACACGCGTCTGCGAAGGTTCGAAATTCGCAACATAGTTGTCACTGCGCACTTATCATGGTGACAGACTCTCCACTCCGCATAACTTTCACAAAGTGTACAAATTCTACGTACATAACTGACGTCGGTTCTCACCAGACTTCACTTCTGGTAGCTGGATGAGGTTATAGCAGGGCTGGCCAAATAAAGTTATGCTCAATATAGTCATTCTCATAACGAGGATACTTGAAACTTTCGGATACGTTTGTAAAGTTCACTCAGATGAGACATTTCTCGAGAGGGATTATAATTTTTCCACATCATACGAGACGGTAGCTGACATTTCTTTGACATTTAAGTGACCATCATAAAATTGAATCACAACTGCTCATCAATTCTCAATGTACCTTAGGCGAAAATTTATAAACGAGGCCGATGTAATCTATGTGTCTAACATTATTGACGTGACTAAACTTTTCAATCTTATGATTATGTCTTAAAAATGTCTAATAAATCTCAAATAAAAACATAAGCGGAACATGTTAAAATTTATTCTTCCGTTACTAACAAGTTTATTATTAGTATTATCTAGTCTGATATAAGAAACATTATTTTCAATCGTTCATCTCCTATGAAATTCTGTATTTTATAATCTCAGCCTGGTTGGATAATTTCTCTTATGTATTTTAAAACGTTTCCTCAATATTCAATTTTACAAACATGGGTTTCAAGAAATATAAAATAAACAGACAATTCTGCTTAGTCATCCTCCGATATACTATGAAGTGTTCGAGTGATCGAGAAAAGTATTTCATTGTATTCTTGAGGAGATTCACTGTCCTTGAATTTCACCAAAAATTCGCAGACTTTAGAAAAAGGAGGTCTAAGTTCGGGAGCAGGACAGCAGCACTGCAGGACAACCGACAAGAAAGGTTCCGGACAGTCAAAAGGAACCAGATCTCTGTAAGCGGTCTCGTCAACTCCCCAGTCGATTATCTTGCGAGGTAAATAGTCAGGATCCGCTTTTATCCGGGCTATCAGCTCACACATCACTATCCCGTACGAGAATACGTCAACCTGGCGTTTTGGTGTCAGTTTATGGTTTTTAATCGACGGTTAAGTTATTTGTAGTTTCCGCTAACGCAAGTAAATAGCTGGTCACAGACCAACCGTCAAACGAACGTCTAAATCGCTAGATAATAGAGCTAAGAGCTAGTGATTGGAACTGCTTCATATTAATGAAACTCGTGAATAAACATCAGACTTGTTATTAAGAAGCCAGGAGGTACCTTCAAGTTGTATGGTTTGTCTAGTATCATTTCAGGAGCTCGCCAGTAAATAGCACCCACTGAATTACTCCTACGTTTACCTGAAGAAAAAGAGATTTTTGAGTGTAAGAAACATTTATCGTTCCAAAAAAGGACGGTCTTTGGTGAGTGGTATGTCCAGAATATTATGAATGTTATTAATAAAGTTTCAGTTTTAAACTAAGATGTAAATGATTGTTTGTGAAGTACAGTATTACACAACTTGATAGGTAATACTTCATAAACGATAATTTTCCGGAAGCTTCCTGCTACTCAAAAGTGGATGTAGATATATGCAAGCTGTACCGCTAGAAACTTCTAGAAAGTTCCTTCTGATTATCAAATTGCAGTTTTAATGTAATAATACGGGTCGCGGGCGACCGAATTAAATTCTATGTTTGCCAAGAAAACATGATCTCTTTTGGATTTGCTGTCACTTAGTAACAAATCAAATTTAAATGATTTTCCCAAAAGAAAAACGATTTGTCATACCTTGCATCAAAATATTAGCCTTTATGTATCTACCTACCTGTTTTTTTCACGGAACGTAATTTGCAAAGGGTTTAGACATTACGCAATACGCGCTCAACATAATATGTTTACAAACACAAATTATAATATTCACTTTGTTTACAGCTCAAACATGATAGTATACAAGCGAAACATTAGCTTATTATTCTCTGAAAATTAGAGCAGAAAAGTCTAAAGTTTCAGTCGTACAATAATCATAATGACAAATTACATATTACCAATTACAAATTACAAATTACAACATGTTCTCTTACCGGGAGCAATGGGAGGGCTAAGATAAGTGTAATTTGTGAGCGACGTTTGTTGATATTGAGCAAGTCCGAAATCTGCCACTACGACAGTTCCATCTTTTCGCAATAAACAGTTCTTACTGGTCAGATCTCTATGTATTATCTGAAATGTATATATTAAATGTATATATGTATAATATATTGAGTCAGCTTTATTTAACGTATTATGAGAGTCATTAAAGAGTTTCAGTAGAGCACACTCAGCCATAATTTTACAGCGTACATTACCGAGGTTGCAAGAGAGTCTAATAATGGCTCGGTTATCAGGTAGTCCGTTTTTTCATTATAAAAACTGAAGAGATCTCAAAAATACTGCACCATAACATTGCGTTTAACACAGATACAATCTGCAGTCTTTGAGACGTGGTTTCTCATTAGCAGTCTAGAATTACAGTCCCGTCTAAAGATAAGGAACACCCTTAAATTCCGTCTGTAACCAGTGAAATTTCACGGCACCACAATTACCAGCTCCCATTAATAATTTTTAACGTGAATATCTGGATTGTTCACCTGGTGAACTCGCTGTGATGGTAACACGACATCTGTCCGACAGCGACATCTGTCCGACAGCACTATTTTCGTGTGTTTGAAGTGATATCTCAAGTTTGGCACATAGAAATTTATCCAAACTTGCACGAATTATTTGTCTTAAAGCTATCTTACTATCTAGAAAGTTTCAAGAAAATCGTATCGTTGGATCTCCAGATATATGCTTTGGAACCACTGAAAACCACCGAATTGGATATATTTTTTGTGTTTAAGGTAATATCTTAAACTTGGCTCATAGAAACTCGCTCAAACTTACACATATTATTCGTCCTATAACCACCATACTTTATGGAAAGTTTTAAGAAAATCGTACGGTAGGATCCGACATAAACTATTGTCCAAATAACCTATTTTCTGATTCGGACAGATGTCGCTGTCGGACAGATGTCGCCCAATCCGCTGTGATATATCAATATGTAAAGAATGTTGAGACCTCCGGGCTGTGCCAAATAGGAAATATAGCTTATACAATTAATACAGTGTTATAGACACTGTGTTTTAATTGTAGACATCCTGTATTAATGTGGGGCCACAGTTAAATAACTACACGGCTAACGGCCGCATTAATCCTTTTTTTAACTCCTTTGAAGAATCGTAAAATAAGCCCAAGAAAACATGCCAAATAGCTTTCATTTCATTCTAACAAGACTGAAACAGTATAAAATACTGAAAACACTAGAAAAACGATGTTTATTTTAGGTATTCTGACTCCAGGAATTTTATTTTATCAAGTAATTAAGTGATCTTCCCACGTCAATTTCCCGTGAGAATACGGTTAATTATATTGTTAACCAGCAACATACACTAGTAATTGCAAAGCAGTTATTTGTAATCATGTAAATTGTTTGTACATTTCTGTTAAGTCAATGATTAGATCAAAAATCTAGATAAGATTTCATGAAATATTACATAATTCTTATTAAGTATTAGCAGTGTTTTTCGTGAAATCACAGTGATAATTGAATAAAATGTTATTTGCAGCGCGCAGTGGTTGGATTGAAGCCAGCTTCAAGACATCTGTAAAATCAGGAGGAAAGTAAAAATCACAGCTTATATATAGCATGTATAGGCTACCTGAGGGTAAATACCTACATCAGTACTAGTGAACAATTTCAAATATTCTAGTTCAAATAAAATACGATTTGAACTTTCGATAAATAAGGATTGTCAATCAATTCCGAGTGCATTGTCGACACTAACTAATACAGATTACGTGTATGTTTATCCAGATATGTACTTTTTGACACATTATATTAATATATATGCTGAGGCATTTAAGGTATTATTAATTATAGCTATATATATATACTTTGCAAGGTATCATAAGTTAAAAGGTGATTTTGAGAGGCTTCGAAAGTAAAACTTAGTAACAATTCTTTAAATTTTTTCGGAAACCGAGTAGCAATAGTAGGTTTTCATGGGTTCTTGTAAAACTAGATATACCTAGTCCCCCTTATGTTAACTGAACATACGTTATAAGTATCATCTACTTTTTCGTCTGAGATGTCTCAAGAATTTTACAAATTCTAAATATTCCAGCTATTTCCAAATCAATTCAGCAGTTAAGAGCACAAAACAAGTTACCTCTAAAACGATTTTAAAACCTTTCATTTTCTAGGCCAGTATTTATTCAACTTTATTAACCCCCTCTCTCCGTTCGAAATATTTTGAAGTTCAGGTTTAGTAGAGTCAATTAGAAACAATGAACAAATAAGACCAGTATATTGATTAGACTGATAATTATACAACCACTGCTGGAAATGTGTTGTGTAACTTTACCAAGATACCTAGTACCTACCCTACCTACCTCTTTTGAGTGAAGATAGGACATTCCTTGACTAACATCCAGTGCAATTTTAAGTCGTTGAGACCAGGGTATGTCCACATTTCTCCTCTTTATCAGATTCCTCAACGTTCCTCCTTCCACATGTTCTAGAAGTAAGTTATGTTAATAAAAGTAAGACCTTTCACAGGTCACCAGATTATTGTCGAATACATTTCGCACGAGGATGATTAAAATATGGCTACAAATGTAAGCATACTATCATACATCTGGGTTTACGTAAGGTGAGGCATACAGTATTATAATAGTGTTATAATAGTATTATATTCGTGTTATAATAGTGTTATAATAGTGTTATAATAGTATTATAATAGTGTTATAACTCTACTCTGACAAGGATCACTTCATCCAGTATTTTTATAATTTTAAAAGTTTTTCATAACATTATCACGATCAAGATAATTATGTGACATGTATTGAATTCAGGGAGGGGCAAATATTAAGGCGCTACGAATTTATTAGTCAGTATACGATTCACATTTAATCTCTTGTCGGCAAAAAATGCAACTTTAAAAATTAAAAGTTATGTAAAATTGAATAAAGTTGATGAATATAAATAATATTACTCGCCGGTGAGAAGAGAGAAGGAAGGTGGGTTAGAGACGATTCCTTTGAAAGAGAGAACATTCACGTGCTTCAGATTCTTTAGGAGAGCCACTTCGTCTACAAATAACTGAGCATTTTATTAATTATATTATTATTAAATTATAAACCAAGTCAAAGTATTTTTTCTTGTAAAATATATAATTCACTGTAACATTCTGGAATTAGGAATACCTAGAAACATAATGTTTCACTTGTGACAATTGTAAAATATAATCGTTGGTACATCTTGGGTAAAAGAACATTTTCATGACATATTCTTGTAGATAAGGAGGTTTACTGGAAAAGTGACGTCCAATCTGCTAATGTTAAAAGTTCTGAGTGTACAAGACCAGGTAGGACCTGCTCTCTCTCACTCTCGGAGAGTAATAACACCTATCTTACAACAGTTCACACAGGTTATTGAACAATCGGGAGATATGATCAGTAGAAATTACTATCACGTCTCTTAAACAACATGACAATTAACTGTAACATGGCCGATAGTTATAAGTTGACGCAGGGGAGTTTATACCAATTACAGAAACAAATTACCGCCTCCCAGGTTCAGCGTGATAACAGGATTACAGACCTGTTACCCGATACAACTCCTTGACATCAGATACAACTGATCACCACAAGTTCATTATCCTCGACATGGTCAGAGTTATCTCTTGATTGCTAACATGTTTCAATAGATTTGGCCAACATACAATATAATCTCAGACACAATGTTGGTTATTTTAGGCTCTAAGGAACGTTCAGAACATATAAGGAATTTTAAAAAGGAGCAGATTTATGGGTTTTTTTGTGGTAATGCATAGTGGTCGCATTAACTATCTTTCAACTTTATAATATTTTAGCCGTCTAACTTTGGATGGTCGAACATTTGTGACATTATTTTGAGATTTGACGAACTGGTTTGATTTCAAAACTAAGGTAGCTACTTAAAACAGAGGCAATTCTGAATTATGCATGAAAATATCAACTGATTCTCGAATATACTTCTGTATTACTAAATCTATTCGTGTAACGATAACAAGCTAAATCGCTCCTCACAGTAACTATACACAATGGTAGCATTTAAACTTATTGATTCTCCATCAGTACTTCTCACAATTATATAGCGTAGAAATTATAATTTATAATTTATCTTAGTTTTGTAAGTTGTAATGGGGCCGTCCAATAAAAGTCCAGACCTCAGTGACGGCACATAAGGAGTAAGGACGTGTGTACTGTGTAATTACATACCATACGCTCTTTACTCAAGACCGCCACGGTACATTTATCTTACAGCGCATTTAACCAGGTCATGAACGGATTCACGTAGGATAACCAAAATGCTCAAAAATCGTATACAAAACTTTTTGGTAAAGTTAGACCAAAAGCTCAAAAATGAAACAATTTTGTTCATTTCAGGGTGTAAAACAATTTTCGGTTGTTCCTCACATTCTAAAGAAAATATACGTACACTGGCAGAGGAAGGGTCAACATTTTGAAGTTCTTTAAGGCAGATTCTCTCTCCCGTCTCCACAAACCGAGCACGACAAACTCGACCGAAGAAACCTTGCCCGACAACTTCTCCAACTTCAACCTGTGATATGTTATCATCTGATCCAGGTGAAACCATCCCACATATAATAAATTCATCGAGAAACGAAAATGACAATAATCTAACAAGTACAATTATTTTAACCTGGGACGGTTTGAAGATGTAGCTGGCTGGCTGAGTATCCAAGGGTGGCGGGGAAGTGGAGAGAGCCTTGAGAAGTCTGCGTTTGTGTTGCCGAGTTGAGGGAGGGGGAGGAGAAGGAGGGGTTGTTGGTGGCGGGCTCGCATCACTCGCATTCCGTGATCGCATTCCAGCTGGGTTAACCGTTAGGGTAACCGTCTGATCCAGATTTATACCACCCCTGGTATCATAAGATTATAACTAGATTATAATTAGGTTATAATAAACAAGCTAGTTTACAGGTAATGTACATCAGCAATGTTTATTTCGTCTTGTTGATTCAACAAGACGAGATAAACTTAAAATATGGAATATACACTCACAAGTTGGTACTGCTGACTAATCTGTCATTAATAGCAATGATAACGTCACCAGTCCTTAGAAAACTGTATTTAGGTGCTTCTTTTACCCTGTAGCAAATATTATTCAATTAAAATAAGAAGTATACTGAAAAAACTCAGTACATCTAGCAAACTCTGTGAGTGTAACTGATTGATAAAAACAGAGTGAAGAATATCAAAATGATCAGTTAAATGGAAACAAGGTCATTAGTCTTCATATTCAGCCTATGTTATTTATCGCAAAAAATGGCATTTTGGCACTTTACTCGTTGGTTGAGTGTTTTTTTACTGTACTCTTGAAGTTGAAGTGTTATTGTTAAGGTGTGACTTGACTGTTCGCTTACTGTGCGTTATTAATGTGCTTCACCTGTGCTTTAACTATAAGTCAGCTAAATGCAAAGTTGCCCAACGCTTACGTTCCCATAGTGTGTACTGTGTAATTTGTCAAAATCCGTAGTTTCTATTAGAATCGGAACCAACTATCAAGGCCTCAGAATAAATGAAGGCTAAAGATGCGCTTCCTCGTGAGGTTTTGTGATGTTTCACGTGTTTCCATCACATTTCACACAAATTAAAAGTGAACTGTGAATGTTGTGAATCACTCCAACGAACAATTATAGCCAGGGGGGACACTTTTCTCGTTCTTGAAGAGAGATGGAACAATACTGTGACAGAGTTTATGTCTTTGTAAAATGCCGGGTACCGAGCAGGTGATGACTGTTTTAAAATCTTTCTAGAAAGGAAGCTAAACTTATACAGGTGTTAACTTTTCAAAGCTTTAACTGTAAACAGGCCAGCTTCACAAAGTTTCTAAGCAGATGGTAAACCTTTTGTCAGTTCTCATAAGTGGTCCGTTACATATCACTCGAAAAATGAGTTATCACATCGTCCCGTGGTTAGCACCTGTACAGAAACAAAGAGGTGTCTTTGTTAAACCGCCCCTTAAATTTGTGCACCGCCAAGGAAACTTTTAATTCATAGTTTAAACTCCGGGAATCATGATTTTACTAATATCTCTGCTGGTGGCCGCTACCTGTGCTCATGAAGACCGACTTAAAGCAATACTGCGATCCCCAAAAGCGACCCTGCGAGCGTATGGTCAGTACAAAGCAGATCAGAAACTCAGTTTCGGACCAAGTGAGGATAGGATGAGGTTAAAGATGTGGCGCAGTTCGGCGGAAATTGTGGCGGAACAGAACTCAAGACAGGACAGCAGTGTTACTCTCGAACTTAATTTCTTTGCGGTCATGACTGCTGAGGAACGAAATCGATATCTCGGTGAGTGATCTACGAATTTATATCACAGCGTTTCTTTTCTGTGCACTTTGGGTGTACTCCTTCAGAGCCATTAAAACTTGAAGAAACCTATAAAAATATTTCCCAGGTATGAATGGCACTTCTGGAATCAAAGCGAAACCAAGAACACTCAGTTCCGTTTTATCTGACACTCCAGCTGAAGTGGACTGGACCGAGAAAGGGCTGGTTACTGCAATCAAAGATCAAGGTATTATCCCTGCTATCCCCTATGATATTAATTGTTTGTAGGTATTAAAAAACATGATAACATCTACAATCTACATGTATACTTAATAGATTCACTTAATCGGACGACTTGATGACCAACTTTATAAACTAAACTCAGAACATATTGCAATTTGCAGCTAGTTGCGGATCTTGCTGGACTTTTGGTGCAGTGGGAGGTCTGGAGACACGATACGCTCTCTTGGAGAACTCCGCCCTCCGAAACTTTGCAGAGAAGGAATATTTGGACTGTGTCTATGAAGGGTTAGCAGATGGATGTAACGGGGGGTGGATGCAGGAGTGCTACGAGTACTCAGCAGCAAATGGAGGGAGACTTGCTGCGACAGCAGATTATCTTTACCAAGCTGTGGATGAGAAGTGTTTAGGAGCAGAGAAACCAGATGCCATGATCGCTGCAAAGATCGTAGGATACGTCAAGGTGGCTGAGAATGAAATGGCGAACATCGAGGCTATAGCTGAGGGCTCTATAACAGTTGCATTTGAAGCGACGAAGTTCTTCCAGCTTTACCAAACTGGCATCATTAAGGACATGACTTGTACAGGATCTCTGAATCACGCGGTAACTGCAGTAGGTTACACAGAAAAGTATATTCTGGTGAAAAACAGCTGGGGTGGCGACTGGGGAGAATCAGGGTATGTCAGATATATGAGAGGGCATCACAACTGTGGACTCTATCTCGACTCCTACTATCCCGATCTGGAGGTGACGGGCGTGGCAGATAGTAATCCTGACGAAGCAACTGACTACGTTGTTCCAGATAATGACGACAGGTTTGACCCAGTTCTTTGCAAAGACAAGTACATGAAGTGCACACTGGCTCACTGCAAGGACATCACATATGCGGAGAGGTACTGCGCTAAAACATGCAACAAGTGTACAGAAGGAGGATGTCCTTCAGGAACGATCCTTTGCAGTGATGACGTGTGCCGACACCAGCACATGTGTCCGTAAACAATAGATTTTCAGTTTATTTCTATAATTGAAATCTAAAAACGATTCTTACTGTTTCAATTTACTTCATTGAAATTATAAAGATAAAGAAACGAAAAGAGTTAAGTTATTGATAAACAATACCTGAGCTGAAATTCATCAGAAAAGTCAGTGTTTAAGTCTCCCCACCTAACTTGAACCCTCCTCTCATTTGATATCAGAGATAACATGTTACACTGAAAGTCAAACGTAAACATCAAATAAAAAACGAATAAATTCATTTTTTAAAGGAGACTGATATTCATATAATCCTGATATCAGTAGTATTAATGTTTTCTATGATTCCGTAATTCTTAAGATGAGCAGACGCTTTTGTACAACAATGCGCTTACATAGCCAATTAATTACATAGCCAATTAATTGCTATTAAACAATATATCAGAGCTTCAAAACTTCAGTTTATTATCTTCTGTCACAAAGATCACATAATTAAACTTCCGGTGGAGGTATAGCAAACTGAGCTACATATTTAATTGTTTTGTCTAACTAGGCTACAACTTACACGTAATTACTGTGTACAACTAAGCTACGCATATAACAGAGTAGTTGAACTAACTCATACAAAGCTTGCCACACAGTCGCCCTGAAATCGTGACAACTAATTTGCAGGTAAACTTTTAATCGTAATAAAATAATGTGACCTACCTGTGTACAGTTATCACAAATAATCTGACCCCCCTCGCTAAGCGTATAGTGTTCTTTTGTCCCCAGTGTGAACATCGTAAACACCCTGTGTAATTATTCTAGGTCATTTGTTTTACATGAACACTCTAGAATAATTCGTACTTTTTATACTATGCAACAATATGTTATCGTTCAGATGAGCTACATAATATTACATTCAGTTCAAAGTCCACTAATTACTTAGTTTTTATTTTGAATTTATTTTTGAAAAATGTTACAAAACCGTGAGTTATTTCACCTGTATGGTATTTATTATCATTGAATATAACGTAACAAGTTCCCAGATATTCCTTGCACACAGTACACCCACCAACAACCTTAAGTAGATTAAATGTTACAATTTTATATGATTTTCATAAGATGGCAGGAAATAATGGAGCAGAGAATATACAGGAATGCACTTTTTTAGAAACATTGAGCAATGGAATGTTAAATAAATTAAGTAATAATGAATATAACATAGTGATGCAAAATACAGGAAATACAGAACCTTTGTCATGCATTGATTGCACACGAGTCGGCCCTCGAGTTGGTGGTAGTCAGTAAGCTCAGTTGTGCATTTGGAGCAAACAAAACAGTTGACATGCCACGAATCTCCTTCGGCCATGATAACCGTTCCTGCATTGATCGGATCTGATGGAAATGTAGTCATTTTATTTTTATGTTACACAGATAAATATTATCGTAGTTTTAGTAAAAAATTGTGGAATTTGGTGCTTAGAAATATGATGAACTAATGCATCAGATGTTAATCTTTTTGTCATCTGGCTGTATCAATGAAAAGATGAAAGAATACTTTCATTTATGAGCAGAACAAAAGCCAGTCATGAATTATAAAAGATTAGGCACTAATATACCTGAGCATAACTAATACCTGAGCATAACTAATACCTGAGCATAACTAATACCTGAGCATAACTAATACCTGAGCATAACTAATACCTGAGCATAACTAATACCTGAGCATAACTAATACCTGAGCATAACTAATACCTGAGCATAACTAATACCTGAGCATAACTAATACCTGAGCATAACTTGCACGTTTTACGGAAATCAGTTAACACTTCATTTGACAGGGAGCTGGAGCGACGCAGTCTATCTGTACTCGATCTGTTCTCAACTCTGATGCTAGATGCTCGAAATGAGCCTGTACTACTTCTTCTTTGCATATCTTTTCATTTAACATTGCTTTAAAGGTCATTTTAAGTATGATAACGGCAAGTAATAAAAAAATAGTAAGAATAATAGAAGTGTTAGCTTCCTTACAAATTTCAGAGGAAATTTAATAATGAAGGCGTCCCATAAGTCAGTGGGGGACCCATAAGTCTGATTCAAGACGTTTCGACTTATTACTCAATCAGTGACTACTAGGTTGAGTTAATTCTTTTTAGTATTATATATCATTCGAGGAATATGTCAAATCAAATAATAGCAACGTTATTTTATTTCAAATGAAGGTTCAATTCAATAATAATGTTTTTCCTGAAGAGATGGAAGTTCTAGCTACTCAGATGACAAAGATATCAAGCATAAAATGTTTGTTCGTAACGTGGAATCGAAATTGGGTTGACACTACTATTCAAATCGTGCCGTATCATAATATCACATAATCACCCAATGAATGTTTGATAACAAGATAAACTATATGATTGATATCTTCGTCATTTTAAATCTGTTACACATCATTTTTTTGTTGCTTTCACATTATTTCCACAGTTTGCATCAAAACGAAAAATCTGGTCTTATGGAAACATATTTAACTTCCATCCTCAAAACATCACTGATCTAGCTGGTGTGCTCTCCAATGCAACTTTTCGCCAAACATACTTCCAGACCAAGGGTTATCTATCCAAATACTGGCCAGTGCATAATGCTATACAAGTTATGACCATTTATCCGATTTATCGTTTCAGTGTGTGCAAAAACTTTCAGGCCGCACATTCCTTGCCCCTTTAGTTGTCTGAGCTTCCACTATTCAATGAGCAGTCAAGGACAAAAATTCAGACACCCAGTGGGCATTATATTTTAATGAATTTTTATAAATTTGTGGATTCTGTAAAATGAGCTAAATTAAAAATTAAATATCATGTTAATTGAAATGTCTTGTTTTATTGACAACATCGAATTGAACTTATTTCTAAATTATTCCTACTTATTTGCAACTAATGTAAATCCAATAAAAAGTAAAGATAATCCTGGAAATATAGTGGGGCTAATTTCCAAACACAGAAGTGCTGGAGCGTGCAAGGATAAATCCAATAGAGCAAACCGCATGTGCTGGTTTTGCCATGTCACCAGAATGCCAGACACTACGCTACTTAAGTACATGCTTAACTGGACCCCTGCGGGACCTTGGGAGAAGATCTAGGGGTCGTCCAAGAAAGAACTGGATGAAAGACACCTATAATCAAGTACAAGTAAGTAATTTACAATTTCAAGCGTTTGTCAACTTAACTTGAATGGATAACTTAAATCATGAAATCATGAATAAAGTATAACTTTCCTATTGGGTAAATAATAATGATAAAGATAATAAGTTGATTTCTCCTTTTTGAGTTACTTTTTATTTGATTTGATTTGGGTCTCTATTTTTTATTCTCTTTTTCTGCAAGCCCTGTCTTTTGCTTTTTCTACTTTTATTCTCCTCTGGTCCCTAGGGTTAGGTGACTAACACAAGGGCAGGTTTTAAGAGCCGACCTGAAATGTAAGCAATGAAAATTAAACTAAATTTGTATATTATATTGATTGATGAGGATGATGATCAATCTCTTTACACTCGACTGTCACGAGACTTTATCAAACTGTTCTCTAGCTGTAACTGGCCCTGAACGAGTATTCGAAACCATAATACTCTAATTTGATTCCATCCCTAACCCAATCCCTGACAAAAGCATTTGCTGCAACCCTAATGCCTAACCCTAACGATCAGAAATTACACCAATTTCTATATAATACGGTCATAACACGCGATTGAGACAGTTTTTCGTCAATATAGCGCCAGGAGAGCATTTTTAGAAAAATCTCAAAGATCGGGATAAGTGTAAAGTAATTTAGCACGCTCGGATTGATGAAACAAATGCTCAAAAATATATTACATATATTCAATATCGTTGTTAAACTTCCAAAACATCTAATTTGCAATTGGAATCAGCGTCCAAAATACACTACAAAATACACTACACCGATTGAGATCTATTTTATATTTCATACTCAAAGGGCCTTTTTTTTTATTAAATACTTTTCAAATTTTACAGAGTACAGCAATAGATGAATATAAAATAGAATCGTTCAAAATATCGCCCCCATCTGTAAAATATGATGGGCACCCAAACACGGTAAACACATAGTGAACTATGTCCGCAGTAACTTGGACCCATTACATCGAATTAATCTAAATCCAAAAATTTATGAAAAACTATTTAATAACAAACAAATCCATGGTGAATAACTGTGGATAAAGAGTCAAAATTGGTATTTCAATACGTCAAATTCCAGATACATTAGATACAGGTCTGAAACGGTCATTAATGTGTGAGAAGGTGTGCGGGTGAAGTGTGATATGATGTTGAAAGTATAGGAAGGTAGATAAAAAAAATTAATAAAACAAAAATAATAATAATATGGGGAGCAAAGAGACTAGGCTAGACTGTTGTTTCACTGTCCAATAAACATTTCCAGAGATGCTTAGTGACCTCAGCTTTGAAAAGACTAGTAGACACAATCTGTCTTACCTGTAAAGGGAGTCCATTCCACAGTATATGGGTTCTGTAGAAAAATGATTTTGCCAGTGGGCTATTTGAGGTACATGTGGTGTGTGAATTCTGACTTAACTTAGGTAAAATTGATGACACAATAGACAGACTGTCGAGGTGGCAACGTCTTAGTCGAGAAGTGCCCTGATATAAAGAGAGATAGTGAGGCAGCGATACAGGAATTAAATTGTTAAGAACTTTGTGGAAAAAAAAATTTTTTGAAAATTTGGGCGAGCGATTTAGTAGGAGCGAATTTTGGTTGACGATTGTCAACCCATCGAGATCGTTGCTTTGCGAAGCAGAGCAACGATCGACTTGCTTCGATGCGAAGCAAGAATGCTAGTTTGTAGTTCGCGCGGCGCGTCGAAGCGGCGAAGTCCTCCAAGAGCGAATTCGCATAGCAACAATCTGGATTCTGGAAGTAAGGGTTGACGTCGCCAATCAAAATATAGCGCGCCTACATTGTACATTAATTCAAATTTAAAGCACGCCGCGCATTTTTTGTCAACAAAACTTTCACAAGTAAAACAAAATTTAAGTAAAACAAATTTTAAATTTTATTGCCATATTACAAATCAAATCAAATCAAAATATAATGACACAAACATCATCACATATCATCAAAAATATATTTACTAAAGTTTAAAAATTACCTTAAATCTATTAGCCTAGACAACCAAGTTAAAATGAATCTAATTTACATACTTTCCACTACTATATAAGTTGATAAAGCGTTTTTTAGCAACATGAGGATTATTACACACAAGATATTCACTGTGCTTTTCTTTATTAGTAGCATAATTTAATTCCTCTATAAATCTGATACCAATCGTATATACTAAAAATACTCTAGCACAATTGTAACTGCAGTTTTACAGAACTCTAAATGCTTACTGAACACTCTTGCAGGTACCACCCGTATTCACACTCAGACCTGAGTTTAGTCATTTTCCGATACGAGATTGGGGACGGGTTCTATAAACAAACAAACAAACAATTTAATTCCTCAATCTTTCCTAATACTTCGTCCGAAACATAGGAAAAATGACTATCATTTACAGATCCGTTTAAAATAGTTTCTTTTTTGAAAGCCTCTAATCTTATTTTAAAACTTAACACAGTCCCTTAATTCTTGACATCCGAGGGGAGTTTGTTCCAATATGGTCTCATCCTCTCCGGAAGAAAAGAACTGTGGACTTTCTTCATAATTTTACTGCTATTTTTACTGCATCTACTGTTTGATATCACATTAAGACCAGATCTGCTCATACTGTACAAACCAGCTCCGTAATTGGCCAAACCACTTATCATTTTAAAAGATTCAATGAGGTCCCCACGTATTCGCCGCTCTGCCAACGTTGTTAAATTGAGGATTTCCAGTCGACGACTGTATTATTATATTATGGAGTACCCACCTCGTCAATCAGACGGGTAAACCGCCTCTGGACGCTCTCCAGCTACAATGAATAATAATATCATAATAAACATAGTTAAACTTGAACATCCGATAATAAACTCATGAATATTAGATTAGCTTCATGAAATGTGATGTAAAATTCGCTTTTTTGTTTTTACTATATAGGGTAAGGCACGTAATTTTGTCAGGGTACCTAATTTTGTCATTTTGCTCTGAAAAACTGCCTCGGCTCGGAATTTCAGCTTGAAAGAAAAGGTTTGTGTATAAAAAGAAAGCTTAGACTTTGCTGAAACTGCTCCTACAAAGTTTAAGTTTCTAGCTCTTTTGCATCTGTGTCAAAAATGAAGGCAAAACTGTTAACCCACAGAGGGGAGCTGAAACCAGGTTTTCGATCAAACGCTGCCATGTGTAGTCAAACGTCGCCAAAAGTTGCTCTCGTCCAATGAAATCGCTGCATTATGTAAGCCAAGCTCCGCATATGAATATATGTAATTCAATTATGCATACCGACTTGCAAAATGCAGCGATTTCATTGGACGAGAGCAACTGTTGGCGACGTTTGACTACAAATGGCAGCATTTGATCGAAAACCTGGTTTCAGCCCCCCCTGTGAACCCGAAAAATAAATAAGATCCTTAAAGTTTTCTTAAGGAATTTTCAAAATTTTGATTTATTGCTATTTCAAAAGTAATTGAGCTAGCTTCATGCTATTATTATTACATTGCATATTTCAAATATCTTCTACAGCAGAAGTATACGTACAAATTTTCAAGTCTCTAGCGCAATTATTATTCAAGTTACAGAGGGTGACAAAATTAGGTTCGATTTTGCCAAAAGTACCTAATTTTGTCAAAAAAATCGACCTTTCTCAAATTTCTTGTAAATCACAGATTGTGTTGAAAATGGCCTTATACAACTATTCTGAAGTTTTTTTGCTCATAGGATATGTATAAGGCACTTATAATAGCATTTAAACACTTATAATAGCATATTTTCGCCGAGAAATATACTGTAATTCTGGGTTTTAAAGAGCTATTGGTAAATATAGTTTCGTGAATCAGTAACCAATATTGATTCATGCTTCATAGAAAGTTTTCAAGATGCCAGTGGTTTCAGGGGCATTTGGGGGCTATTTTCTAAGATTAGATACCCAAAAAGTGTCATCTTTTCATCAAGCTACAAAACTATGAAAACATCATATCTTTGGGATTTTTGAGGTCAATGTTGGTAAAAAAGCGCTCGAATGATGCATCCAGGTAGTCTAAAATACCGAGAAACGGTTACTTTTTGCACAATCTTCAAGTGACAAAATTAGGTTCGGGGTGACAAAATTAAGTAGAGTCACCTAATTTTGTCATTTTTTCAAAATAATTTTTTTGAACATCTTCAACCCCAGCAATTTCGATCATTTTTGTGTTAGAACTTGCCTAGACTGTCTACTATAACATGGTGGAGGTTTCATCTAAATCGGAATTTCAGACGAGGTTAAAACCCATGGTTTATATCAGGCAGTCGGAAAATTACCAAAAATGACAAAATTATGTGCTTTACCCTACTACTCGAAAATTCGTCTCAATCATAATTTTTTTACTGTGCAACTCAAAATTAAATTACAATTTTGAAGCAGAAGTGATAATTAAACATAGACTTGTAAAATTATTGCATTATAAATTTTCAGCACAATATTTTGACATTTATAGCATGACTGTAGGGTTGCTGATTCACAAACTATAATTGAAAAGTGTAGTTACATAAATTCGTAGTTGTATTGTGTATGCTTTAGTCATCATACTTTTGATTCAATTCTGTTCAACCCCAGAGCCAAATATCGCATGTCTAATATAATGCATCTTTTGAATTTAATTAATGATATTTAAAATGGAGTCTTATGGTAAGTATTTATAGTAAATTATAATATAGTGAATTATAATATATCATTTTTAATAGACTTCGAATACAGTTAATGAACTGACATTAACAGCTCGGTTTGATTCATTGTAATAAATCATGACGGGAAAAAAGCACGATTCAAAGTCTATTTGAAAGTGACATGTATGATTATATAATGATGATGATATAATAATGTAATGATGATGATCAAGTCTATACTTCTTCTTTACTCGACTTAAATATTTCCTGTCCCTGGGGATTTATTTTACTTTAGGCTGTTACACACTATTACAATTTCCAAGGTCCTTCACTGATGCCCTTTGCTTTTGACTTTTAGAATATAGTTTATTATTATGTTCTCACAGAGCTGAATGTTACTTCTCATTAATTTGGATACAAAATTGAGCAGTAATACTTCTACTATTGGGGTCAGGGCACTTTAAATCACGTCACACATTTAGAGAGCAGTGGCGTAACGAAGTGCCCCCGCTGAACCCGCTGCGCCAACAGGCAACATTACGCCACTGTTAGAGGGCTCTATTATCTAATGAACAAGTACCATGCTTTTTGAGACTATCAAGTTATTTTGTTGGCGCCTTCTCCCCCGAAAAAGTGCCCTTCCCTAAAATTATACAATTTAGGTGATTTGAGAGGATACGCCGGTAAAATCTCTAAGTAAAATACAATTTTTATTTTCCACAGAAGAATCAATACATATTGAATTATAAATATCCGATAATTCCATTAATAATCTCTATTATAATTCAGAAAATTCTGTACGTACGACCGCCCACGTGCAAATCAGACGAGAAATAGAAATTTAGGTAACAACCAAAAGGTTCCATAGCAACGGTGTTTTAATGCACACATGCACGTGCAAAGATTTAACGTCATATTGATCGGTTTTGTGGTAATTACGTTGTGTTTAAAGTGTTTTATATTTAAATCGGCTGTATCTTCGGTTGGGATGGATATTTTTGATGCAATTAAAACTTTCTTTCAAAGAATACTACTAGCTTTGTCCCTGTTACCACAGGCTTTCTAGTCATTAATAAAGTGTTTCTAGAGCAAAACGCGCAGTTTTGCTAGTACCTCAGTTAATTTTTTCAAAATTGTCCCACATTCAAACGACAATTTGGCGCCCCCTAAGATGGCGATGCCCCCACCCCCCCCCCCCCCTGCACAGTGCACAACAGGGTCAGTAGGGCCCCTCATTATGCCACTGGTTTCCTTCATTCATTTGAGTATTATTTGACAAAGAAGGACTATGTTTCTTTATAAATCAGTGAATTTATCGGAAATGTATACTGGTTATTGTTTTACCTTCTTTTGAACAAAATTTATTTTGCAGTTTAACCGAAATGTAATACTTCATACCTCATCTGACATCTCCTTGCAGGTATTATGGCTGATTGTGATGACTATCATAACCTTCCCAATAAAAGTGAGCAGTGTGAATTTATCTCACAGACAGAGTCCTGCGAAGATAATGATGGACTTGTTCACTACTTAAAGTTTCCATACTGTAACTTACCTGCTGCAATTCCACTTGCAGATATCATTCTCTTCGCTTGGATTGGATATCTTTTCGTCTGTCTTGCTGTGACAGCTGAGGATTATTTCTGCCCTGCACTTACTTCTATCTCAAAGATGCTAAAGCTTTCTCAAAATGTTGCTGGAGTTACTTTCCTGGCTCTTGGTAATGGTTCACCTGATATCTTTAGTTGTATCGCAGCATTAGGCTCCGGAAATATAGAAACATCTTTCCTTGCTCTAGGGGCCATGTTTGGAGCTGGTCTGTTTGTGAACACAGTTGTGATAGGTGCTGTAACAGTCTCACAAGACGGGTATGTACTAGCCAGACGACCATTTTTTAGAGATTGTATCTTTTATCTAGCTGCAACGTACTGGACTTGGTATAACTGCTATAACAAACAGCTGAACCTGGCCACAGGTATTGGATACATAGCACTCTATGCGGCGTATGTCTTCTTAGTAATTATTGGCAGGCTGGTGTTTCAAAAGTTCATTAAGAAGCAATCTCTCACAACAGCTGTCAATCCTGATCCAAACATAGATTCGAATTATGCTGCTGACACAAGGGGTGGCGATCTTCTTAATGTTGACCGAGAAAACATCCCAATTGTTGAATCTGATACGGATGAAAACACGCAGCTAGGCCCAATTGAAATTGATGAAGATGGTGGGGGAGATTGGACTGAAATGCCTGGTGTTAGATCTGCTGCATTTACTAGAGCACTTGCTGTGGCTCAAACATTGCCCTATCTTGGTCAAGGCCAATCCCATCAAAGGTTTGGGTCAGTAAATGGGTTAGAGACAGCAGAGACACCGCTTTTAAGACATGATATTAGCTACAGCTCACCTCTGCAGGGGAACACATCAGAATATGAATATCCTTCCTATTCAATGGGTGCTGTCAAACAAATGGCCCACAATTTTGTCCTTGCCATGAACCCCATTCATCTGGACGACTGGGAGGCAGAATATTCGCTTAAAGATAAAATATTCGATGTTGTGAGTGCACCTGGGAACATCATTTTCAGGATAAGCATTCCTGTAGTCGATCTTGATGCTCCTCTGCTTGGATGGAGCAAACTGCTAAATTCTCTTCAGTTACTGATCTGTCCTGTGATTACCTGTCTACTGCTTGAGCAGACAAATAATACGCTTATTTCTGTTCCTGTGCCAGTTATAGCAGCATGCATTGGTTTTATGTTCATGATCGTCATGCTATTAACGTCTTCTCAAGGAGAAACCCCATTTTACTTCAAAGCAGTTTACACCCTTCTGGGCTTCCTCATGAGCATCCTGTGGATCTACACTATTGCTAACGAGATTGTCAGCCTCCTCTCTGCTTTCGGGCACATGTTTATGATAAATGGGGCAATTTTGGGACTCACTGTTTTGTCCTGGGCAAACAGTGTGGGGGATCTGGTTTCAGACGTTGCTATGGCAAAGCAGGGATATCCACAGATGGCGGTGTCTGCTTGTATTGGTGGTCCCTGCCTGAATATGCTTCTTGGAATCGGTCTTGCTAGTACCATTGCTATTCTAAAGCATGGTAGGCCCTTAGAGTTGAAACTGAGTGGCAGTTTGATTATATCGTCAGCCTTTCTCATGTTCACCATCTGTGGACACTTAGTTGCTGTACCGCTGATGAAGTTCAGAATTAGAAAATGGTATGGATATTATGTATTTGCTTTGTATGCTTGCTTTTTGGTCATTGCTTTGCTAAATGTCACACACGTCTTCGAAATAAATGGCTCCTGATCTCTTACTGTAACGGTTGCTGAACAAGCAAGTTTTAATATTAGATGTTATCTATCTGCCCTAATCTGATTTCAACTGTTTTAATTTATACTGATTTATTTTTAATCCTAATCTAATATCTAAATTGATTATCTACGGCTTTGATCGTCATCGCCAGTTGATCCAGACAAGATGCAATTTCAAATTATGTTTATAGAAGCGTTAATATTTTGTGGATAATCCTTAAAGTGATGTTGTTAGGTTTGAATATTTATAGAATGTGATTTTAGAAATTTAGACATGAGTTTTTCTGAGATTTATGTTAGTTACTAAGGTTTCTAGTGAAAGACATTGTTTCGAAATCATATCTTTTAATCAGAACTGAAACAGTGTTGTTTGATGAATTTATCTGTCAGCACTCAGCTTTTGTTTTTTGAAGGTTGTAATGTTTTAAATGAGAAACTGTTCTTTTGCACGGAAAAAAATATGAGAATTGTTTTGTTATGTACTATATTATGATCATAAATATCTTTTTACTGTATTTGTGATGAATGAATTATTTGCTTATAATTGATTTCTTATCAAAGATTCACGCATGTTTTGTTTTAAATATTGAGTGTTCTCAGTTGATGATTTTCACATACTTTCATATGAATGAGTGTAGTGCCTTATCGAGTACAGTGTAGACATTTCAAGAAAAGGGTTTAAAATTAGATAGTTATGTTGCTGATCTAAGAATTAATTTTCCAAATTGGTAATGTTTCCAGCTTTGATGCGATCTATAATATCTATTCCTGCTGCAGGCATGGCTCATCAAGATATTCAGATTTGACATAAGTAAAGACTTCTGTGATGATTTAAATAGGACCGACCTGAAAGGCAAGCAAGTTTTAAGATGAAATCCTAATTTAACATTCAAAATCTAGCTATAAATTTCTTGAATTTCCAGTCTGTTCAGAAAAAAAACTACAGATTTTGAAGTTAAATATCATGATGCTTTAAAAAACAATGCACGATTTCTAGAACAGACTGATAACGATGTGTAATTTGTATTTTTCATGTACTATTTATTTCAGGGACACACTATTTCTCCAGACTAATAGTCACCAGATGATGGTGTGATCTGGAATCATTTACTGAGTGTTGAATCATCTCCCTGTATCATCGCCATCAGGCTGCTCAAGTTGGATACAGCATTTCTTACTTAGGTTCGTAAATATTCAGGAAACTAATTTGTACCAGTAAAATTTGTGGGTGAGGTGAGGTGGGCCATACTAATAGTAACAAGTGATAAACAATAATAATTGTTTACAATTTCATCAAAATAAAAGCAAACTCATCAAGTAAATTATAGGTAGCATATATCATAACAATTGATAACAGACTTCAAAGACTGTGCTATTGTGTCATTTTGCACCTATACTACTATGGTGCAGTTCTTAAATTTTGCTATTTTGAATTTTTGGTCTATTGTCTAAATCCTGACACTTCTTCTGAAATATTTCTCAGACTTTATTGAATATTTGTTTTCTTGCATGTTTTTTTTGCATACTCTTCATTGTATTGTAGTATTACCAAGTCCAGGCACTAAACTGATGAGACAACATGCCGCATTAGCTGCGGTACGCATGAAAAAATCCAGCAAGAAATCATCATGTTCACCCAAAAAATCGTAGTTCATTTTCTCGAAGAATGTTTGACCAAAAGCCACTACATTTGACTCTTTACATGTTATATGTCGGATAAGTTTCATCATGTTTAACAAATCATACTGACGTTTCCTTAACCGCGGACCATGTGTGTTATATCGGTGGGCAGAGTATGCGGATAATTTCAGAACTTCATGGAGTTGAAGTTCGAAATCTTCTCTATTAATTAGCTTATCTTTACATCTCGATTCTATAAAACTGAACATTATGTCAAGTAGCGTTCTAATGAGACTGCAGAAAAATCTGTCCTTCGTTTCCTCGTCACACTGAAACAGACCGTATACAACCTTGGTGGTTGATTCCTTGAACTCTTCGTGTTTCTCCGAACAAACGACACCTTTCAAGTTCTTAGAAATTCCGTCTAATAAGCACGAATTTAAATCACTCAGTTTGTCCTCGGGAAACTCGCGATAAAAATCTGAAACAGCATCCATCAATGTAATGAGAATATAATCTTCGCTATCGTGTCCGTCGTTTTTACATACTAGTCTTATCAAGAGTTTTATGGTTGGCCGCAAGGTAGTGTCTTTGACACTTTGGTACCAGTTCGAGTTTCCCACACACAGATATGCGTGGATTAAAGAGTAGCCAACGTCCATATTCTCGTCCCCTATTCCAAACCTGCACAATTATCATATAATTTTACTTTTTAATTACGAACAAGCTAGTTATATACCATTTCTATTGTTGTGTTCTAAGTGCTGCACAGTGCAGGGCTTTAAATTCAATTCATCAGAATTCGTGTTGGTTCAATTTAGCTAATGTTTCAAAAAGCTTGGAAACGAATGATTTAGGGCTAACATTTCAAAGGATTTACTTGATCTTACGTCACAGGTGGGCTCCATTATAATTTAAAGAAAATAATATTATTGCTTTGTATCGGTATAATGGCCATGGCACGAGAGTGTATTACAAAGACACATAAAACACTAAAACACTAACCTGCTGCCAAGAAGTAACAATATCACGAACACACTGTGTAAATGTCTGGAATTCATCGTCTGAAGGTATTCAGACGATCAAGACTGTGTCCTTGTTTTCAGTAATCTCAGCTATGAATCACATTTTACATTTTCTATCTAACATGTGTGGACGGACAGTTGCAGTATAAGTAATAATTCGAAGCAAATTATTTGGTATATTTAACATAATGTTAATGAGGAGAATTAGACTGCGTTTGTTTACGAATCTGAATGATTTGTATCGAATAAAAATGTGGAAATCTGTCTTTGTGTGATTAATCTTATCTTATTAATAAAACATTAGAAACCGTAATCTGTATACAACAAACGCAATACGCATCAAGGACTATGAGCAAGATTTAAAGACTAACGAATACCATAGTATCACGAACTTGCACCATAATGATAAAACCAGACTAGTAAAACTCCCTAATATTAAGCAATTTCAAATGGCATTTACCAGGTGTACGATCAAATGGCGTTTGATAAATATCAACAGTTTATGATCTCACTGGTCTTCTTGAAATGTCCTACCATACCAGCTGTGTGTTTCGGGCGAATGATTACAGAGAAAGTTTATAACACCTGTTGACAGTGTCCAGTTCTTGATTTGCCTCACATGACCTTGCATTCTGTGTCGTGACCGGTGAGTTTTGATAGTTTCCAGTGGTCTAATCTGTATTTCATGCGAATCTGCAATCAGTGTCATTCAATTTGAAAGTGTTATTTTGTCATCTCAATTTTAGATGTCATGAAAATTATGTGTCTATTGTATGTAATATACAATAGATATATCAATGAATAACAAACTTCAAAATTGAATATGCGAAATTTTGTTGTCAGCCGTACATGAGCCACTCGACCACTTGGTACGACAATATGCAGCTCGAAGACTCTGAAGTTGTATTCTATTTAATGAAATAAATTTGATCAACCGACTTGCTAATTAGGTTACAACGTTTTTGTTCATTCATGTTATATTCAACACTGTTCTGTTTAGCCACAATATTCCAGAGAAATAAAATGGATTTAATATTAAACGGAGGAGTGATAGCGTCACAGTGCGACCCGATACGGTCGTCTGAATGGTTCATAACATGAACTGCGTGATGTGACATACATAATTATATAGGGAATCATCGACTGTTCATTTCTAAGGAATATTTAAAAATACGTGAATATCACAGCAGCTGTGTAAACTGATTGATTTTACCAGATCCTAAAAGTGCAGCCGAGACCCTATTACATAATACGGAGATACTGAGATTGTCGCTCATGATCTGTGTAATATTGCTGATTGTGTGTCAAACCACTGGCCACGCCCAATATCCATCTGTAGTCTGTACAATAGACCGCTGGTATGATTCACCTTGCTCTGTGCTCTGTAACAATGTACAATTATTATTGTCCTGCCTAATCTCAAATCTAGGTAGGAATGTAGTAACTATATTACTATTAGTACAATGTAATACCTCGTACAGCGTGGACATGTCTGACCTGATGATATTTGTTAGAGTACACTACAAATTACTTGATTAACAAACTCTCTTCACATTTTTAAATAATATTAATATATCAGGTTACTAGACTTTTAACTTTGGGACACGTAATTTCAAAATGATCAAATGCTTAACGCTCACGAACTGTCAATATGATCTGTCAATATGATCATGACGTAACATTAAACTGTAGAGAGTGAATTATAAAACGTAGTGAAATTATCATTTCACTGAAATGTCTTGTAAGTTGTACTTTGCCTGCGTCACATCCTGCGTCACAGCCGCGTCACACTCCTGTAATTATGGTACACGCTACCTTAACTCTATACATTAACTACCCGTAGTCTTGTAGGATCCCTTTGAGTCCTTCAAAGGGATCATACAAGACTTCACAAAAATAAAGTGGTGTAATCTTTAGAATTTTGATTGGCAACTTAATGATTCCATAGGTCTTTCACTATTTAATTCGAAGATTTCAATTTGTCAGCTAACCGTCAACCGAGTATCAATATGTTAACAAAATTTGGTCTAATTTTCGCTTAATCGAGCAAAATATTGTGTTTGGTCTGGCTTACATTTTGCAATTCGGAAACCAGTTACGATTCGTAATCAGTAATTCGTGAACACTTTGCAGAATTCAAATTCTATTTTAGGTGCAATTTCAAGTGAACTAGACAGAGGAGAGATTCTCAGATAGATTCATCCTGGTTCAAATTGATCGACATGGTGTACGCTGCTATGTATAGCAACTTTTGGTAGAATACACATTTGTTGATCAAATTCATTGACGATATCAATCTGTTGGGCGATTCAGCTCTTGTTTAAAAGGGTAAAAAACTAGAACTTACTTGGTTCATTGTTGGTTACCTATTACTATTTACTTGTTATATAATTCTAACAAAATGACTGGTTGTTAAAAGCTTTGTCACTGGCAGTAGGACTACCTAGACGTCTTAAAAGTGTTGTCCCTGTTGTGCAACTATTTCACGTTCCCCACCAGTAGTAATATACTGTATTGTTCTCATGAGGGCGGGTACCTCCCTCTATTATGAGCGCTTTAGTACAACAACATACTGAGGAGCTTTACTTTCATTGTTGGTATTTTAGTGATGTCGTCTGATGTCTTCTGGTCGTGGATTTGTAAAATGAGTACTTCTCAAAGACCAAATCTATCAGAATCTTCTTTTGGGTTCATGTATTTGCCATGGTACACACTACACAGGTTATGCATTAAACTATAACTTCTAACTTATCGATAATTCGGTCTTTCCCGTAACATCTTATTGTAGTCCGTATAAAGCTTCTTTTTTGTTTATTTTGTTTATTTTGTTCGTGTCTTCAGTCTTTCTTCCTGCTAACGCCTGCTATTGTTATGTCATTGTTATCACGCGACCAATGTCTACAACAAAGCTTCAAAGCTTGGTCTCATTCCAATTGTTTGTTTGTTTGTTTTTAAGAAGGAGTTTGTTGTGCTGGTTCTCTATTTTTGTTCACCACAATTCACATTTGTTGATAAAACTTGATAAAAGTACGAAAGGAATTGATTTTGTGCCGTGTTCTTCAATTATTTGTCTAATATCCGCTAATTCGATGTTAACTTTATGACTTAAAACTTAATACTATAATTTTATGTCGTTGCATCTTTCCAGAATTCATCAGAATGACTGAGTCATTCACTTTTATCGTAAACATTTGTCATGCGATGCTCCTCCGACCTGTTATCTTAAACCGTTTACTAAAATAAATCGTACGGTGATGACCTCATTGTCATGACCCTATTTAAAGAAGTTATTTTAGTCTTTATTATTATATAACTTTATTCAAATCAAAAATAGAACATAAATGAACATCTTAAAGATCTGATAAGTAGCCAGAAAAAAAGAAACACTGATACACAAGCTATAACAACTTCTTCCATCCCGCTCTATCAGAGGCTAAAAGTCTTAAATTGTACAAATCGTCTGTATTTACAAATGGAATGTTCCTGCTACCTAAATCAAATTTAATAGTCTTAAGCAAGTTCGACTGGTGTCTACCT